GGACGAAGCCTTCCAGGAGGGGCCGTCGGGGATTGGCAACCTCGTCAAGAAGATGAGCAAGGCACTCTACACGTCTCTTCGGGCTATTCTGCCAGTGTGGAGGACGACACCGACGAACGTGCTGCACAGGGAGGCGGGAATACCGCCCGTTCCTCTACTCCTCGAAGGGCGTCGGACGGCCTTTGCTGCGCGCCTTAAAGCTCTCGACGAAGCTCACCCGCTCGTCAGCGCACGTCGCGACCAAAAGCTCCCGTCGTGACCGTGAACAAACTTATCAAGTTGAAGTACCAGAAACAGCCACAGCCCTTCCGTACCAGACTGCGGCGAGCCGACGAAATGCTATCGAGCTGCCCGAGACCTGCTTTACTGCAGCGCGGATTTGCCGAAGAGCAGACTGCGCCTCTGCAGAGTGCATCGAAACACGAGACGGCGAAAAAATTTCGCGACTGGCTTCAGGCACTATCGCCCCGAACTCTTGTCGTCTACTCCGACGGGTCTCGTTCTGAGGAAGGCCACATCGGATACGGCTATGCTGTTCACCGGGACGGATCCACCGTCTTGAGCGGCAGGGCCGTCTTGGAACAGCTGAGGTTTTCGACGCTGAGGCGAAAGGTGCATTGGAGGTTGAAGGCAGCGGTGAGCCTTCCAGAAACTGACCGCATCTTTGTCTGCCTCGACAACCTCGCGACCGCAACATGCTTACAGGGCACGCCGAACGACTCCTCGCAAGAGGTCTTCCTTGAGTTCCAATCTTTGGCGCGAAAATACGGAGCTGTGGAGGTCCATTGGATCCCCGGCCATGCTGACATCCCAGGCAACGAGGAGGCTGATGCTCTGGCAAGGCGGGAGCATCACTGCCAGAACCCGCTGATGGCGAACCGACGCTAGCGCATCTGCGAAAAATTGCCCGACTGCAGCGGAAAGAGGCTTTCAGTGCCTGGTGGGAAACCTCTGCGCCGGAGCGATACAGAGACCTGAGGCTTAAAGCCACAACCAGCTGTCCGTCAGAATTGGCGCTCTCTCGGCCCCTGCTTCATAACTTGCTTGCAGCAAGAACCCACCATGGGGATTTTGCTGACTACCACGAAAGGTTTGGTCACGACGATGCGCGACTGACGTGCTCGTGCGGACGACGAAAGAGCCAGCACACATCTTTTACTGCAGAAAGGTTGCGCCACGGCATCGTATGCGGCTTGCACCTTGGCCGGCTGCAGCCATCAACCGCGCAATCGGCAAGGACTTTGACAAATTCGTCAGGCTGGCGACAGCGAGCTCCTTCTTCGGAGGATCTGCCCACGCCACTAGACGGTCATCATTCTCCTCTCTCACTACCTTTTCCTCTCAATTCTTTCTGTTACCTGCTCCGATCTCGGGCGGCGTCAAGGTCTCACGACCATGCGATCGCCGAGGTCGTCAAGCTACAAGGCCCCAGAAGCAAATTGGCTGATCTGACCACGGGACAGCTTTCTCTTCGTGCCTGGACGTCCCGCTGACGGGCAACAGGTTTGTCATGAGCGCCGTTGAGCCGATGAAATGCTGGATAGTGGGTGAAGTGTACGATATGTAGCATGTAGACACCTGCTAGCTCAGCACGTCCTGTGCTCCCCTGCGGAGACCTGAGCGACCAAAAGTTGCTGGACGGAAAATACACTAAACTAAACTAAACTAAACGACGATCAAATCGATCGATTGGAGGTTGGATCGATACGATATCGATCGAGCAGGACTTCTAATCGATCGATCGAAATCGAAATCGATTCGATTAATCGATTCGATCAAATCGATTGTACGATCGATTTCCAAGCCTGCAAAACGTATTGCTGTTCCGGTGGAACTGCGGCCCCAGCCAAGCACCTTACGGATCCTCCTCCTGACGGTCACGGCCTCCCAAAAGGCGCGCCACGAACTGCCAAAGTCACGAATATACGAACTATTCTCGAGATAGCTCGTGTTACGGCCAAAGAACATCCCCGAAAACGCCGTCGGCTCAACGATCAATCCGGAGACTCGATCGACCCAGACCAGCTCGAAGCTTTATACGTAAGGTTTATTACGTCCTGTTCTCTCCCATTTAGGCTTGGAATGCCCAGAATTCCGAGCATTCTTAGCCTACCTCAACGCCGATATCGATACTTGGCTTCCAGATACACACGAGACCATCAAGAAATGGATTATGCGGCAGTACGAAGGTCAGAAGGAGAAGGTCAAGCAGCGCATCCAGTCAGCAAAGTCAAAAATTCATATCAGCTGCGACCTATGGACTTCCCCCAACTCTTTGGCCATCTTAGGCGTAGTTGCTCATTACGTTGCAGAAGACAGTCAGTTGGAACACCATGTCTTGGCTTTGAAAGACATCGACAGTGAGCACGACGGATATCACCTGGCAAGGGCAATTTTGGAAGTGGTTGATGACTGGGGTTTGCTTCCAACCTTGGATATTTTGTGATGGACAATGCAGGCAATAACGATACAATGATGAGATCTCTTTCCTTGGTAAGTACGGCGCACTGTTTTTTCTGACTGGCCCTAACATTTACAGGCCTTCTACGTCGATATGACATTCGATACGATCCCAAATCTCACCGACTCCGCTGCCAAGGTCACATTATCAACCTTGCCGAGGCGTGGCGGAAAAGGGTCCCCTTGGCAAGCTCCACAACTTCGTGGTTTTCGTCCAAAGTAGTGTTCAGCGTCGCCAAAAGTTTCTGGCCATCAGCCATAATCGCAAGCTTGCGCGAGATAATGACACGAGGTGGAGTTCGTGGTACACCATGCTACGAGCGGCCTTGCATCTTAGAGGCGCAGTCGAGGGATATTTCAACAAATGGGTGGAAGGAGATTGTGCCGGAGACGAGCTCTCTCCGAGGAGTGGGTCATCCTCGAGAAGATCAAGTCTTTCTTGGAGAAGCTTAAAATGACGACAAAGGCCCTTGAGTCATCGTTTGCAACTCTTGACAATGTTCTCTTGGCTATGGACTTCGTATTGGCGCAATTCGAAGCAGGAAAAGAGGCACATATCGACGATCCGATTATGGCACCAATGTATAACTCGGGCTGGGCGAAGATGGATAAGTACTATTGTCTTACTGACGAATCGCCTGCCTACGTCGCTGCGATTGTGCTTCACCCTTCGCATAAATGGCACTACATACACGAAAACTGGAAGAAGGAGTGGGCTGACTCGTCAAAGAAGCTGATGGAGACACTGTGGGATGATTATAAACCTGTGGAGCCGCCTTCTCTATCTGAGGTTCCGTTGACGACCACGAACGAGTTCTTGAATTGGAGAAACAAGCACCTACAACCAGCACTTATCACAGACGAGTACGAGCGATATTGTAAGTCTGAACGGGTTTATGGGTTCACAAGCGCCCTCGCATGGTGGCTGGAGGAAACACAGCAAAAGAACTACCCATACCTGAGCAAAATGGCGGTGGATATACTGTCAATTCCCGCAATGTCTGCTGAGCCCGAAAGACTCTTCTCTGGGGCAAAAATAACCATCACAGACCGTCGAAATCGACTTGGGAGTGATGTAATTCAGGCATTGGAGTGCTTGAAGTCATGGTTTGGGATACAGGATTTTCAGGGTGACGATATTTCAGCAACGACGGTTGAATAATGAGGGTCACGTGGGATATACGGATATATTGTTTTACTGGCAATATATTTGGTCACTGGCAATACAATACAATATGGACCAATGCCATATTGCGCAATACAATACGCACCTCTTGACAATACAATAATATTGCGAGGGGTCCATATTGCCAATATACGTATTGTTTATATTATTAGCAACACTGGTGTCCATCAATCAAGTAACTTGACTTGGTTGCTTGAAGTTGGTTGATTACATAACAGTCAATCACGAGTAACGATCTCTCCGACCAAGCAAAAGTAAAGCTTTCTGCATTACTCGGTTTACTCCGAGTTACCTGACTAGCGTTGATTTCAGGCAATTTCGTGATACCCATGTCATGAAAGTGGACGAACCCCTTTCCTCTCGCCGATTGAGCTTGGTGATTACAGTTACTTTCTTCGTGCCTGATTCATCAACATCCTGCAGAAACTGTTCAACGCTGAGGAAGCCAGCAATGCCCTCTCACTCAGCTTTCGATCCTTGCAATCATCTCGGGCGTCACGCCTCCCAAGACGCCTTCCCAGTCGGTCCCCGACGAGCCAAGCATCTCCCATGAAAGGACTTGCCAAAGGCATCGCAATGCGTTTTCCTATATCTTGGGAGAAGATTCGTTACGACAGAAAACCGTTGGCCACCAGTTGGCCACCATACGATATCGTCAGCCTCACAAGCGCGCAATGAACTCGAAGGCGCAACCATCGATAATCTACAAACACGGTGCGCAACTCACGACAGACGGCGACAACAAGTACTGGCTCTGCAAATATTGCCATGTGAGCGGACGTCACGACACAGCGCTCTTTGCCAGCGAGAGTACGACGAGCATCATCTATCACCTTAGGCACCACCACAAACTTGCCGAGTTCGGTTACAAAGTGGCAGGCTCCGACCCCTTCAGCATCTCTCAAGGAGCCACCAAGGCCGCGTCGTACTTGGGAGCCGACGCATGGTGTTCAATGACCTCCAGTTTCGAAGTCATTTTGCCGACTGGGTCATTGATCTTGATTTGACTTTCCGCCAAGCGACTCACCGACGAACAAATGAAATATTTGCATTGTGCCTGGAAGACATCGACAAAGTTTTGCCGAAAAGCCCGTCAGCGCTGAGCAGTTGGGTCAGCGAAAAATGGTTCGGTGACAACGGCAGGCGCGCCTGGCTGAAAGAACAGCTCCGCCTGTCCAAAAGCAAGATCCACGTCTCGACAGATGCTTGGACATCTGAAGAAGGTACCAACTATTTGGCTATAGTTTCTCACTTTCTAGACGCTGCATACAAGCTGCAAACGGCTTTGCTGGATTTGCCAGTTTTGAAGGGCCCCCACACTGGCGAGAATATCGCCAAAGTCCTTGCAGCGGTCATGGGGTCATACGAGATCGGTCAGAACGTTGGTTTCTTCATGATGGACAACGCAAGTAGTAACGACACTTGCATTCGAGAGCTGGCGAAGCGCTATCCTGTCATCAAGCCTCAGAGTCGCCTGCGCTGCGTCGGCCATATGCTCAACCTAATCGTCAAAGCCCTTCTCTTTGGGCAGGGTGTCGGCAAGTTGGAGAAACAGCTTTGCGGCGCGTCTGAAGTGGAGCGTTTTGAAATCTGGAGAAAGCATAGCTTCGTCAGTAAACTTCACAATTTCTGTGTTTGGGTAAACAGAAGTGACCAAAGGCGGGAGCAGCTGAAACGGTATATTTTGCAGGCTTACGAGGAAGGCAGCATTGAACTGCTCTACACTAGAGTCCTGGTCGACGGCGGAATCCGCTGGAACTCTGCATATGCAATGATTCAGAGGGCGGTCAAGCTCCGTCATGCGATTGATCTGTTCTTCCTCAACTATTGCTACGGTGGCGTAGGGTACGACATTTCGCAAGACGTACTAACCCTACAAGATTGGATTGACTTGCACCATTTTCTCGACATCTTGAAGCCTTTCAAAGATCTGACAAAACGCATGGAGGGCCGAGCCAATAAAGCTGGCCTGGAAGGATCACATGGCTCCCTTCATGAAACAATTGAATCATTCGATGTCCTCTTCAAAAAGCTCCAAGAGGCCGGAAGATTTGCCGATGACCATCCCGACGTGGTTTCAACGTATTATTCCCACGCAATCGATGCTGCTCGCATCAAGCTAGAAGAGTACTTTGGCCTTACCGATGCCACCCCAGCTTATCGGTGCGCTGTCGCATTGCATCCGGCGAATAAGTTTGCTTACTTCGAACTTGGTGGAGTCACAACAAGCAGTGGATCAGTGAGGCAAAGAGCGTGGTTCAAGAAGTTTTCGCAGAATACGAAGACGCATACATGGAAGCGGACGCTGCGGACCATGAGGAGGCTTCGTCGCTGGCCCTAGGAGAAGTCGTCGCTGATAAGGCTGGCGATGATCTCGTCGCCCTTGACCCACTCCAGGAAGCTCGCAAACGCCGACAGATGCTGGCTGAGCTTGCGGCGTCCGGCAAGGAAGGAGGAAAGAGCGAGACTAACTTCTGAGCTCGACGAGTTCATGGCTAGGAATAACAAGGCTGATTCGGAAGTCGAAGATCCCTTGCAATGGTGGATCTGTCATGCGGCAGACTACCCAGTTCTGTCGCAAATGGCTTTCGACTTGTTCACTTGTCCAGCAATGAGTGCTGAATGTGAGCGGGTTTTCTCTCAGACCAAAAGGTCATCACGGATGAGCGGAATCGCCTCAGCTCCAACACCGTGGCAGCTATCGAATGCCAAAGCACCTACTTCGATCTGGCATGCTATCGTAGTCATGCTCGAGGAGCACTTTTTCCCCTCGTCCCAAGGTCACAGGCGGACAAGATATAGAGATCACTCAAGCAAATCGGCTCCCGAGTCAAGTAATGTCAACCAACCAAGTAAAGCACAGCCATTTCTTCGAGTAAACCAAGTCGAGTAAACGGATCCTTCAACCAAGTCAAGTAAGGGTGTCATTTTCTGCTTTACTTGGTTGATGGACACACTGGTTGAATCCATTGAGGCAAGGAGACTTCACCAGCATTCCACATTGACACGGTATACGGAATGCCGTGTAATTCCTTGGAGACCTCTGCTGCTGGGCGTTGGAATCGCTTGATGAGCATTTTACAGAAACGCTCTACTGATGACTTCATAAGGCGATCCTTCTGCTCGATGGAAAGTTCATTCATGAACCACTGTAGAGCTCCGCCGGCAAGGAAAGACATATAGTGCTGCGACAAGGCGTAGGAGTCGAGATCCTTGTACATTCGCAGGCGCTCGCAGAAGAGGTATACATCCGTGTACACATTGCTGCCGCTTGAGAGGACACAAGGCCTTGTTTATGAGGATCCTTGTGATTGGGGTTGAAAACACCCATGTTGTCACGTTTGAGCCTCTTGGCAACAGCTTCCACATCACTAGAGGTTTGAAGGTCTGTGTGGTAGGAGAGGCGCTCCGGCGGCTGTGAGCGTATCCAATGCCAATGCTGCTTCCAGAGCTGCTGCTGCTGGAAGAAGAAGATTCCGAGTCGCTTGAATCATCTAGTCGTAGGTATCTGCGATGTTTGTGGTGACTGCGGCGGTCGCGGCCCGCCAGTGTTGCTAATAATATAAACAATACGTATATTGGCAATATGGACCCCTCGCAATATTATTGTATTGTCAAGAGGTGCGTATTGTATTGCGCAATATGGCATTGGTCCATATTGTATTGTATTGCCAGTGACCAAATATATTGCCAGTAAAACAATATATCCCGTATATCCCACGTGACCCTCATTATTCAACCGTCGTTGCTGAAATATCGTCACCCTGAAAATCCTGTATCCCAAACCATGACTTCAAGCACTCCAATGCCTGAATTACATCACTCCCAAGTCGATTTCGACGGTCTGTGATGGTTATTTTTGCCCCAGAGAAGAGTCTTTCGGGCTCAGCAGACATTGCGGGAATTGACAGTATATCCACCGCCATTTTGCTCAGGTATGGGTAGTTCTTTTGCTGTGTTTCCTCCAGCCACCATGCGAGGGCGCTTGTGAACCCATAAACCCGTTCAGACTTACAATATCGCTCGTACTCGTCTGTGATAAGTGCTGGTTGTAGGTGCTTGTTTCTCCAATTCAAGAACTCGTTCGTGGTCGTCAACGGAACCTCAGATAGAGAAGGCGGCTCCACAGGTTTATAATCATCCCACAGTGTCTCCATCAGCTTCTTTGACGAGTCAGCCCACTCCTTCTTCCAGTTTTCGTGTATGTAGTGCCATTTATGCGAAGGGTGAAGCACAATCGCAGCGACGTAGGCAGGCGATTCGTCAGTAAGACAATAGTACTTATCCATCTTCGCCCAGCCCGAGTTATACATTGGTGCCATAATCGGATCGTCGATATGTGCCTCTTTTCCTGCTTCGAATTGCGCCAATACGAAGTCCATAGCCAAGAGAACATTGTCAAGAGTTGCAAACGATGACTCAAGGGCCTTTGTCGTCATTTTAAGCTTCTCCAGAAAGACTTGATCTTCTCGAGGATGACCCACTCCTCGGGAGAGCTCGTCTCCGCACAATCTCCTTCCACCCATTTGTTGAAATATCCCTCGACTGCGCCTCTAAGATGCAAGGCCGCTCGTAGCATGGTGTACCACGAACTCCACCTCGTGTCATTATCTCGCGCAAGCTTGCGATTATGGCTGATGGCCAGAAACTTTTGGCGACGCTGAACACTACTTTGGACGAAAACCACGAAGTTGTGGAGCTTGCCAAGGGGACCCTTTTTCCGCCACGCCTCGATCTCTTTTAGTGTCACATTATGCCCATCACGTTCGTCGTCTTTGAGCTTCTCATTATCGGTAACGAAGAGGAAAGCTTTGGCGGCAAGGTTGATAATGTGACCTTGGCAGCGGAGTCGGTGAGATTTGGGATCGTATCGAATGTCATATCGACGTAGAAGGCCTGTAAATGTTAGGGCCAGTCAGAAAAAACAGTGCGCCGTACTTACCAAGGAAAGAGATCTCATCATTGTATCGTTATTGCCTGCATTGTCCATCACAAAATATCCAAGGTTGGAAGCAAACCCCAGTCATCAACCACTTCCAAAATTGCCCTTGCCAGGTGATATCCGTCGTGCTCACTGTCGATGTCTTTCAAAGCCAAGACATGGTGTTCCAACTGACTGTCTTCTGCAACGTAATGAGCAACTACGCCTAAGATGGCCAAAGAGTTGGGGAAGTCCATAGGTCGCAGCTGATATGAATTTTGACTTTGCTGACTGGATGCGCTGCTTGACCTTCTCCTTCTGACCTTCGTACTGCCGCATAATCCATTTCTTGATGGTCTCGTGTGTATCTGGAAGCCAAGTATCGATATCGGCGTTGAGGTAGGCTAAGAATGCTCGGAATTCTGGGCATTCCACAAGCCTAAATGGGAGAGAACAGGACGTAATAAACCTTACGTATAAAGCTTCGAGCTGGTCTGGGTCGATCGAGTCTCCGGATTGATCGTTGAGCCGACGGCGTTTTCGGGGATGTTCTTTGGCCGTAACACGAGCTATCTCGAGAATAGTTCGTATATTCGTGACTTTGGCAGTTCGTGGCGCGCCTTTTGGGAGGCCGTGACCGTCAGGAGGAGGATCCGTAAGGTGCTTGGCTGGGCCGCAGTTCCACCGGAACAGCAATACGTTTTGTCACAGTGTTTGCAGCGCCATTCTTCTTTTCCGGTCCGCTGATTGTAGTATTTCGTCTCTATGTCCTCGTCTGGCATATGAGAAAAGACCCATGATGTTCTTGGCTTGGCCGAAGGGTTTATGGAGGCCGTGCGAGGTTGCGACGATTGGCATTCAGTGGTTTGGGTCTCATCTGGATCATGCAACCGTGGGCTGGAAATCTCCGAGTATTCGTCTGATATTGACGAATCCCGTCGCGGCGATGTTTGAACAAAAGGCAGGCGTTGTTGAGGCATCGAGATTGCTTGTAAGTCCTGGGGTGGGAAAGCGGGGTTGAGGAGGAAAACAGTGTTTGGACGGCGAGCCGCTACCCTGTAGGTCTGGATTTATACATACATTTACGCGTTTCCGTGCGCCAATAGGAAACTTTTACGTCCTGGAGGTCCGCCAGACGAAAACAATACATAGAACATGCTTATATTTACGCGTGTTTTTGACGCGTCATCATATTGGCGCGAATTGGGGAACGGAAAGGCGAATGACTACCAACCAATACAAACAATACAAGCCATATATTGCCAGTATGGAAGGCGCTATATTGTATCGTCACAATATGACGGCGAGCATATTGTATTGGTACAATATGAGAAATCGCGTATTGTATTGTATATACTGCAGTATACTACTTTATTGTCATATTATTAGCAACACTGCTCCTCGTTCGTTGCTCTGCCCAGAGTCTCGTAATGGCGTTGCCGTAGGTCCTCACGGTGTTGAACTTGAGCGTGAGTGCGGATTTGAATGGCTCCTCTTCATCTTCTGATGTCGAGTCGATCTTATCCACGGCCGTTTTGACGGCAACGGTGATTATCGCACGGGGTGTAGAGCAGCAGCAAGCATGATGATCAGGAAGTGGAAGAACTCTTGATTTAGCTATCTAGAGGGGAAAAGGAGCAACATCTTTATAGATGACATAAAGGAGTGGCTGGGAGATGCTAGAAAGCATCTGATCATATAGTGTAAGTGCCTATAACGTGTGCATAATGTTGATGGTTGGTGTGGCTGTTTGGCATAGTGTAGATGGTGGGGGTTAGCCTGTTGGAGGCTGATATCCTGTGTGTGACAGTGATACTGCTTCATATACCATGATTTAATCGCTGTACACGATGCACCAATTTTTATTAGGCCTAGACAGGCGTGGAATGCGTGGGCTGACTTTTGCACGCAATTGCCTGCATAAACCGCGTGCACGGGTTCGGGGCGCGTCCACACATTAGCTCCCCAACTAAGGGGCTTGTCCCCTTAGTGGCTCCCGAAGGGCCCCGCCAACGGGTACTACTACTTACTACCCACCAGCATTGCCGGCGCACGTGACCTGTCGCGTCTCTTTTCCTTGTTTACATCCGTTCCCCAACTTCTTCCCAAGAACAAACACTACCAACCGCCTCGAAAATGACACTGACTGAGGAGCAGATCAAAATTATCGCGGATCATCCACTTAATGACTCGCTTGCTCGTTTTCCGGAAAAGTTATGCCATTTCAAAGAATCCAATGAAGCCTGGCGTGGTGACATTGCCACTCTGCTGTCAGTTTTGGTTGGTTCCCCGGCAGCATTCAATCTTCCTTCGTCAGAGGGGGGGACCAATGTGGCAGGAAAGCTCTTTCCCATACAGCAAGATGTCCGAGGAGGCTCACTCAAGCTCGACCAATTTCGCCCACTTGTCGACGTCATCGCCACTAATTCTTCCGACACCGACATCTGGACCGCGGTCCTCAACCTGATCGACGCCGTCAACCCGTCAACACCACCACCTCCCAGCATCATTCCAACGGGCCGCGGAACGCCAGTCAAAACAAGCTCTAGCCGGCTCGATGACAGCGAAACGCGCGACATCGTTGAACGCGAGCTATTTTACGAAATAAAAGACTGCACCCACAGGGGCGTACCCGGCTTTTTTCAGAAGCACTTCGACTCGACAAAATGGACCAAGGCTCAGGAAAAAATGCTTCAGTTGATCTTGGAAACTCACGATGGCACAAAGTGGAAAGACTTCCCGGCCGATTCGTCGGAGAAGGCCGTATGGGAATGGCTGGTTGGGCTGGAAGAGATGGCCTTGACTGGCGCGCGGTATATGCTGCATGCTAATAGAAGCGCGACCGAGTTCAAGGAGCGCAAAGGCCAGATGGACATCTTCTTCCACAAGCCGAAGCGAACGAAGGGCCGGTTTGAATATAAAGACGTTCTTGTTGTTGGAGAGCATAAGCGATCCTTTGATACCGGCGACTTCAAAGCATGCATGTTGCAGCTCACGCGGCATGTTCGAAGCATCTTTGCAGACCAACCGATGCGCCGATTTGTGCATGCGTTCACAATCAAAGCTACGACGATGGAGCTCTGGATTTACGATCGCTCCGGTGCATACAGTTCAGGCGAGTTCAACATCCATCGCGAACCGGAGAAACTAGCGCGTGCTCTTGTCGCGTATGCTACCATGGACGACGATGCGATGGGTTTGGATATGTCCGTTGAATGGAAAAACAGTCGCCGCTATATAACTGTGGAAGATGTCAACGGCGACGATAAACGCATGGAACTAAATGGGCTCCTCGTTAGGCAGCGAGCCGTGGTGTGCAGGGGAACCACGTGCTTTTCGACAAGGCAAGGGGTGGCTAAGTTTTCTTGGCGCTCAGACAAGCGGCAACCTTCCGAGGTGAAGCATTTGAAGCTGGTGCAGGAAAAGGGCGTGGAAGGGGTTGCCACACTTGTGGGACATCGCGAGATCACGAGCATTGCCGACTTGCGAGCGGACTTGGACTTCTCCAGCAGCACGCGGCATCAGTTCCGAACGACCACCCACGACCGATCAGACGGATATAATCGCCTACAAGGCTCAGAAAGCAGCGGATCAAGCAGAAAACGCAAGTCTTCAGAAGAAGATGTGCGTCCCACCATGAGGCGGCGGTCCAACAGCCAAAAGTCCGCACTTCGACAAGCCTATGACCCACCGAGCGAAGAAGCGAACGATGAAGCGAAGCTGAGCTTATACACACCGAACCGAGAAGACCCCTACGAGAATCGCATTTTGTCCTGGCTTGTTATCTCCCCTGCTGGACGTGTCGTCAGCGACTTTGGTACCATTCGAGAGCTGGTCGAGGCGCTCCGCGATGCCATAAGAGCGCATCGATCTCTGTACCTAAAGGGTGGAATACTACATCGCGACATCTCGTCGAACAACATAATAATAACAAATCCTGGGAGGTCTGAAGGTTTCAAGGGAATGCTCATCGACCTTGATCTGGCCAAAGAACGAGACAGTGGCCCAAGCGGGGCACGGCATCAGACAGGAACGATGCAGTTCATGGCGATCGAGGTACTACGTGGCATAGACCACACCTATCGCCATGACTTGGAATCTTTTTTCTATGTTCTTCTGTGGATGTGTGCGCGCTGCGCTTGGAATGTGAAGAAAGGCTTCTGCAAGGCGGGCGAGACGGCGCCTGAAGAAAGCATCTTGCGCAGGTGGGAAGTTGGAAGCTTCAAAGATATTGCAAGTGCTAAAATGGGCCACATGACCGTCAACAGTTTGGAGGATATTATGAATGAGTTTCCAAACGCTTTTGACGCGGTCAAACCGCTTTGTCTGCAACTTAGGTCACTACTATTTGGAGATACAGCAAGGATGATGATTGGGACGCCTGCGGGAGATCCAGCGCGACTTTACCATGGTATTGTTGCGGCGTACAACGAGGCTATCGAGCAATACTAGCAGTTATTTATTATTTATATTCAGCATCACCCAGCATACAATATATGACTTTGAAGATATGCCACCGCCGCGATTTTCTCGCGGCTTGCTCTAAGGCTTCAAGTGACGCTATGACGCGGTATCGCCACCCAAGAGCCGACAGCTTGACAAGTGTCGCGTTACGAGTACGAAAAGGTGCATAGAGATTGTGGTGTATTGACTGCTCTGCCCGTGATTCTTCCTTCTCTCTAACAAAAGCGACTTCTTATAGTTCTGTCACCTGTGGCTGCCTTGGGGTGGCGATGTCATGTCGCCACCCAGGCCGCCTAGATGACGTTGTCATCTAGAAGGTTCGATGCCACTGCTTACCAACGACGTTCTGAAGACCCCTGATACATCCTTATACGTAACACACCCCTTCAGGCTGTGCGTTGTGCGTAGAGCCTGGACTTGTGGAAGGTCTGTTATATAGCAGTTGGCGTTGTTGAGCCTTGACGGCCTTGACGGCGAATTCGAAGTTGGCAGTCGGTTAAAAGAGCGTTGCATGGCTACCGGACTTGCGGGCCGGCGCCTGTTGTTCGTTGATCAAATGATTGGCGTTGGAATGAGTGTTTGGGTCGCTTTTGGAGGTGCGATTTGGGGCTCGCCAGAGCCGGCAGCTGCAGATAGCAACTAATTCTGCAATGGTAGGTCCACGAGCCCGATTTGACGTTGAAACTCAGCGAATTTCTGTCCCTGTAGAGCTTTGGTGAGACCGTCAGCAGCCATGTGCGCGGTAGGCATCCAATCGACCTGTAGGTTGCCGTTCTGAACCTCCGAGGAGAGCAATCAACACATGCACATCACCGACTATCAGATCATCTGAGAATCTACCTACGAAAAGTCCCTTTATTCACTTTTATGCCCACTTTTGATCTCTCCTTCGCGAGAGTGTTATAAAATCACGATGTTTAGAAGCCTTATTGTGGGAATGTAGCATATAGCTATAGTAGGATTGTAAGGGAGGTGCGCACACACGCACACGTGACCCTTAGCGTCACGTGTATGGACCTCGGGGATCCGTGTATAAAGGGCACGTAGTGTGCCCCCTCATTCCCTTTCCTCCCTTCCTAGCAAGACATCTTGAATACAACCCATTGCGTTACTGCAGTACAGACCTCCCGACACTGATCAGTGATCGATTTGGTCGATCACAGATTGGCAAGGAAGAAGAGATAGAACGCAACCTTCGAAAGCCCAACTACCATATTCCTAGCGATATTGCCTGGTTGGACCTAGAGGAGGTTTCTATGCTAAGATCAAGGACTCTACGATTACCCGGACCCGGCAACCAACTAGCTCCCGGTAGGCCATTGATAGATCCTTCCAACTTCACTTAACGGTTACATTATGTAAGTGCGTCCACACCGCGGTTTCGACAACTACGTGACAGCCCTCACGATTCGACAACTACGTGACAACCCTCACAATGACAAGCACGACCCCAACCCCGAACCCCGCCTCTACGAGGAACGACGCCTTCCTCGACCAAGTAAGGAATTGGTCCAAAATCTCACGATCCCAAAGACCCAATATCAGGATATCGATCCGACCCGATGGGAGGATGAGATCACGCCACAAGAGGAAGATAGAATAGCTGTTATGACATATACCGCACGATTTATGTCAGAATGCGAGGAGAACGTACACCTTCATGGCACTAATATCCTTGAATTCTTCCAGGATCACTTCCAACAGTGGACCGAGGCAACGTGGAGAAAGATGCCAAAGGAATTTCGAAGGAGCTACGTTACCTTTTAAAGAGACGTGGTATCTATACAGGAGAAAAGGGTGACCACATCATCCCACAGCTCGTCTTCCTACAGACGATCGATAACCCACCAGCCTGGCCCGACAACGAATTCATGGTAACCCAATTCGATAAAGGAACGGAGGCCTATACAAGAAAGAGAGACGACTAACGCAGAACCCTCCCACCTCCAACACGGCGGAGCCATCCACGCCGTTAGCCCCTATTCCGACGCTCCCTGCTCCTCCCGCTACGACAATTGCGGAACCGCCCACAACGACTGCTACGCTTCCCAACGAACAATACATCCTACAAGCTATCAGTTCCAGCAACAGAGCATCGTTCTAGCAGAACCCTCTTCTCCACATCCCTCGAAGCGTACACAACGCTTCCCCCGGCCGACATCCCGAACGACATCGTCGATGCCGACACACAACAGAAATTCACCAAGATCTGGGACAAAGAGAAGAACTATACGGGGGAACCCTATGACCTTCTCGATGATAAGCTACGCATCTTTATGAGTATCTGTTATAACATTCAGGTCAAGCCGGACCAATTCCACGCTCTTTTCCCTCGAATCCTTACTGGCCGAGCCCAAACGTACTACATTGACCACGTTAACTGGACCTCAACGTTCCGCAAGGCATACGATAGCATCAAGCAACATTTCGATACGGAAGTTAACCACGTTCACTACTATACTGAATGGACGACTATTTCCTTTAACAAGCTCCGTGCCGATAATGCTACGAAATCCCTACACGAGGTTCTTCAGCTACTCCTTGATAAGCTACAGTTATGCCAACGAGCTCTTGGCAACGCGTATGCAGGAAACGTTCCACTGCGTACAACGCTTATTAATGCATGCCGCGGTGTTCCTGAACTTGAATACGCTTTATTCAAGCCCGCCGAAGGAATCGAGCCCTTTTGCAGATCTTCGCTCTTCCGTTGAGACCCATCTTGCACGCGGAATAGCGCCTCGTTATCTTCAAGGAGGCCCTCAATACCATCAAGACCTCGAGGAACCATCTGATCATATGGATCCCAATGACCACTACTATCTCGATCGAAGATACAACAACAATCGCGGAAGATTTGGTCAGAAGGGGTATAGAAGGTATAGAGGCAACGCTCAACGAGGCAGCTACAACGCTCCACGGGAATCTTCAATAGTCAACGCTTTAACCGCCCACAAGGCCGTTACGGCCACAACCACCCGTGGAATAAGAAGTGCTTCGTCTGCAATAAGGAAGGATGTTGGTCTACAAAGCACACTGCCGAGGAACGTCAAAGATCCGAGACCAATACGTCGCCCACTGTCACTTCATAGGATTACCTCCCAGGACCTTACAGCCTACGTTCTTGACTTTGAAGGTCACGAGATGGATGCCCACGATGATGCTAACGACCCTGGGACGAGGACGACAATGAAGATAATGACAACAACCCAGAACAGTGGCACACAAGCCAAATGCTCTGCCAGCAAGCCTTCAACCATCTGATCACAGGGGAAGACGTGTATAGCACCTCTCAAAACAACGCTACACCTGCTTCCCAATTCATGATAGAGGAGCGCTACTCAAGACTCCGATTCCAGGGCATCATAATTGACACAGGCGCCGCGAAGGTTTCACAGCTGGCTACGACCAATGCATCGCTCTACAACGAGCAGACCCTGCTATAACGCTCGATAAGACTACAGCAGGCCAAGCTTCTATCAAATTCGGCAACGGCGAAGCCATTCTATCCCTCGGCTCTATCGCCCTTAAAACACCTCTCGGAAGGATCACATTCCATATCCTCAAGACCCCTACTCCCTTCCTCCTCTCTCTCGCTGATATGGATCGCCTAGGCATCTATTTCAACAACCTTACAGACACTATTGTCGGACGAACAACCCTCCCGGTTATCCGCAAATGGGGACATCCTGGTTCCTCCTACCTAAGACCAACGAGGCCGCTATCGCATTCCTCACGGAGAGCGAGATCCGCACTCTTCATCGTCGATTCGGGCACCCAGCGGTCCCAAGACTTCACAACCTCCTACGGCAAGCTGGCCACAACGATGTGACGATAGATATCCTAGAGAACATCTCGAGATTCTGTCATCACTGTCAAATGCACTCTCAAGCTCCAAGACGCTTCAAATTCACCCTAAAGGATGACCAGGAATTCAACTACGAAATCGTCGCTGATGTGCTCTACCTTGGAACCCCTCAACGCCCCGTCTTGCACGTGGTAGATACAGCAACAGCGTTCCAAGCAGCCAGGTTCCTCCTATCGATGTCAGCAAAGGATACGTGGAAGCCCTCCGAGCCCTCTGGATAGACACATATCTCGGACCCCTGATACTATCAAGCACGACGCAGGGACCAATTTTGCCTCCCTAGAGTTCCGTAACGAGGCAAAGCTTATGGGGATAACCTGCAAGCAAGTCCTGTGGAAGCACATTGGTCCGTTGGAAAGGTTGAAAGATATCATGCCCCTCTCCGCCGTGCGTTTGAGATCCTCCACGCAGAAATCGGGACCTTCACATCCCCCGAATCGATCCTTCAAATGGCTATCAAAGCCATCAACGACACAGCAGGGCCAAATGGCATTGTCCCTACGCTCCTAGTCTTTGGCGCCTACCCTCGAATGGCGTTAGATTCGCCCCTTCTGCTACGACCCTGAAAGGGCTGCCGCAGCCCAGAAGGCGATGAAAATGCTTCGTCAGCTCTCAGCAGAGCGGCAAGTGCAGGGCGCCTTACACACAAAGAACGGACCATCATCAACAGGCGTTATACTATCGCTCCCACTGCAAAGCGAGGTCCGAGTGTGGAGAAAAGCTCGGCTGGCAAGGCCCTTTTAAGATTAGTGCAATTGATGGCTCCAATGTCACAATTGATACTATCAACGGACCCCAGACCTTCCGTTCCACCCTTGTGCAGCCTTATTTCCGCGACGAGACGACGATCCCTGCCCCGCTGCTGCTGCTGCGGATGATTCTGACATTCCTGTTTCTGATCCTGCGAGCGATTCTGTTCCTGTTTCTGCCCCTGCCCCTGCCCCTGTTCCTGCTCCTAATCCCCGGCGCCGCGCAAGCGAGGCCGCCCTGGTTCGAAGAACAAGCCAAAGACGACGTTCCTAGTCAAGAAGGAAGAAGATGCCTACCAACTAGCCATCAAGCTACGGGACGAAGGCATTATCACAACGCCAGGCACCCCCTTTGAGGAATCCGATAGCACGGA